ATGTTTTTTTCCCCGAAATTCCTGAGTCTCCTTGTCGTTGACCTGACAAAACCAACATGTAAACAAAATGTTTTGCAGACGAAATGCTTGCTATCCATACGGCACTGGGTTCCCGATCGTGGCACAATTCAATCGTTATGTTTACATTTATTTGAACCTCAATCATTGTTTTTTTTTATTATTTTTCATTTTTTCCCACTAGGAATGTTGTGCAGTTAATGCTCAAAGCACAACATGATTGCAAAGAGTGGATCTTCTTTATGGAACAAAGTCCCGTGCACGTCTATGACGAGTTTAACTACAGTAAGGCAGCCAATGTTTGGAGCACAACGAAGTCAGAAGGAATAGTTTAGACTAAGTTTTATGGAACAGTTCACATTAAATGTAAAGTATTATGTAATTTAAATAAAGTCTCTCATACATTTTAATACTGTCTTGTATGTTTGTTTTGGTGAGAGTGAATCCTGAAAAATATTCAAATTAGTATGCAAATTAGCATGCAAATTAGACCGCCATGCTTGCCTCTGACCCTGGGGAGAACACTGATTGGACTAGTGGAGACCACTGCTCAGTATGTTTGTTTTGTTTAAATATACCTCAGTCCCTTAATTGATAGCATACTGTCCCTGAGACAAACTAACATTGACACAAATTAAATGAAATTAAAAACAAATGAGCATCAATCCTATGCTAAATTGATATCAAAATGGAGCACATTTTAAGATCATGAAGAATGAACATTTGTTGTCAGTTTATGAACTGTAATAGTCAAAATAAGTCATATTTTAATGATTTAATTATTCAGTATACAACAAATATTATGTTTTTATGAACTGTTTTTATAAAACAAAAAAATGTTGGTGTAAAATATTTTCATTATGGGAAAGGTATAAACCAAAACAATTGATGAGACCAACATTATATTGCAAAACACTATTCTGGCCAATGGTTTGGGTCATGTTATATAGATAACAAGTCATTGAAAATGACACAGTCCCCGCTAAATTTTTGAAAGTTCTCTTTGTGCTTGTCATATTAAAGTGGAGGGGTTGTCGCGAGCGTGTCCTTGAAACTTGAGTCCAAAGTGGCATATACAACGAACTGTTTATTTACATCAAATTCGAACAAGTGTTGCGTGACGACCTCGCCGGTTTAAGACATAGCAAAGAAAAACATAGATCACAAGTGAAAGCATGTCCAAGTTATCACATTTTAAACAAACAAGACGGCCGCCAGTCGGCCATATTCAATCAAATTGCAAATTGAATTGACATGTACATGCATCCATTTATGACATGCTAAATATCAATGAAAATGATACATGGGTGACAGAGATATAGTAATATGGCCAAAAATAAAAACAGCTGTTATTCGGCCATCTACGAATGAAAATGGTACATAAATCTTGGAAATATAGTAGTAAGGCCAAAAAGTCAGATGGCTGTCAATCGGCCATCTTTTATCCAATTGCGAAAGAAATTGTCATGGACATGTATAATCTATGTACCAAGTTTGAATGAAAATTGACAATAAAGCATGTCCAAAATGCAACATTTTCAAAAAAACAAGATGGCTGCCAGTCGGCATTTTGAATCGAATCGCTAAACCACTGCATGTACATATGTCCCACATAAGGTACTAGGCAAAAAATGAACGGAATTGGTCCGACGGATTCTGAAATATGACTCGGACGAATGGAGACCGGATTATAAGTCCTCGTTTTCAGACTTCGTCCGAACAAGGATTAATAATATAATGATAGTTGGCTGCCATTAAAACCAATCAGATTTCCTTGATGTTAACACTATGATTATATTTCTTGTTACTTACTAAACCCAGATAAAAAATATATGGCCACCAAACATTTTGCATGAAACAGCGACCAAATGGCAAACTTTAATGAAAAAAGTGATTATTGGGTGTTTTACTATTGGTTCCAATGAACAAAACTAATATGTAGTTATAAAATGGGTACCACCAGTACTCATTGTTGTTAAAAATTTATTAGAACATTCTGATAATTATCAGACATTCATGTTATATGAAATAATGCTTTAATATAGATTTCAAATGGAATTATTTCAAAAAATGTCCATTCTTTGCATTTTAGAAAATATTTATGATTGGACATTTGTCAAAATCAATATGCGACATTTTCAAAACAAGAATTTGTGATAAATTTGTCATCCCTACTTATTAGGTTCAGAGCATGGTAAAATGCCATCGGTATGTTATCAGTGGTGTTCACTAAATATTGTATCTAATTCATTTCTAGAGAGTAACGTGTATTACACATGATTTAAGAATATATCACAATTACCCAAGTCACACTACTAAAGTTTGTAAATCCTCTAAAAACAAAATTAGGATGTGGAATTAAATTGTACATCTCAGAACAAAAAGCTCACATATGCAAAGTTACAGACAATGAATGTGTGAAACAGAAGGTAACAATATGTGAGCTATTGTTTTAATGCTAACTGATAACTTGACAATATATTCAGAAGGGTGGGAGTATAATGCGGTAGTTCACACTGAGTTTTTGAGAAATTGTATTGTTGAATCACATCTGTGACCATGCACCAGCAACAATCTCAAAAAAACATTTGAACAATGCTTAAAGGGGAACTAAATAGAGCTTATTTTGGTGTTTGTATTTATCAAGTTATGTATATTGATTATAAATTTGAAAAAAAAAATGAAAAAAAAATGATTATCGTCAGAGTTATGATGATTTAAATATGAGAAACCATAAACCTGCGAAGGACTTCCGTTTGCGCCATCTTGCCATAAAAAATGCTCTCATGAGGTATAAACAGGTAAGGAAACAAAGCATGATGACGAAATAGTATCTGATTAAATATACCGGTAAGCAACTTAGGGAGCCATAGTTGGCTGGACTGGTGAATTGACTTCTAGTCTAGGTTGTTTCGACTTTTACGTTAATGTTATTTACAAGCGTATCAACATACAAACATTATGGATGTGCGATTGATCGAGACAGACATTTTGTTTTGTTTTTTGTCTACTGTCTAATAAATGCTGTTTCCAGTACTGCACTGTGCGACGTGCAAATTATTCAATTTAGTATAGATGCTGGAGTATGCAATCTTGAGTTTGTAGGGTGGTGGTGGAAACATTTTCGTCCATGTATTCACGGGGCTGCGCTGGCAAATCATGGGACAAGTGTCACAGGAACACCAAGCAGATTGTTCACAGACTTCCATGTAATTTGAAATAAAACTATCATCCGAACAAGGGGCATCGTCGACGATATACTCTCATCACTCACACTGGACTGATCTGAATCGTCACAGTATACCGTACTTCCCTGATCATAAGCCCGGAGGCATGAACACGTAAAGGAAAAGTAAGGGATGAGCTTGTACTCAAGGACCAACTCAGAAAAAATGATTTTGTTTTGGGGTTAAACACTGTAACCATCTTGCAAACAACGAAAAATTATCCTAAAAAGTTATTCGGTCACCACACCGGGCTCGGGAAAATAATACTTATTTTTGAAAAAAAATGTGTCATTGATTTGAACGACACTTACAATGAAGAAACAAACATGTTCATAAAAAACACACACATTTTATTACAATACGATTTACATACCATCTGAATTTACGGTGAAATAATGGGTAGGGTCTGTGAGGAAACAGTGGACAAAGGCATTTATCATTATCTTCGTTTTGGTATGTTTTCGATCGTACGCAAACTCTCAACGCGAAGCAATTTTCCACCATGAGGTTTTTCAGCACGATTTGACCTGGAACAACTTCCTTCGACATAACAGGTCATGTCTTTCATTAACCAATCAAAATGATGTGTCGTAATCATGTAATTTTCTGATTATTGACGATGATTTTTTAACGCAATGCGGAAGTGAATTACCGCAATGTTAAAATGCGATCTGTAGCACTGATTGCAACGAAAAAAACGATGATTTTTTTCCCTAAAAACTGGTGATTCGCAATTTTCGAAATATAAACCATGCCCAATAACCAGGTACACGACTTAACGATCACATTTTTGGCTTTTCGAAAGCTACTGCTCAAAGAAATAGGGATTACTCCAGAATTGCAACATCGGGGTTCATCCTGAGTAAATGACAGAATAGAAAGCATGCGAACCACGTTGTGTATGTTCGCCATGCACTCTGAAATTAATGCGAGTTTTCTCATAATAAAATTAAAAGCATGAACCAAACTACCATGCCATTCACGATTATTATGAAATGAAACACACCTTTTACACGCATATTATAATCGTGAATGCTCTCAACTCGATAAATATCAAGTAAAAATATAGGGATGGGCTTTCATACTCGAGAGGGACTTACGATCGGGTAAGTACGGTACTTTAACGCAATTGGGCTTTCACTTTCAGAATACTGTGGTTCAAACGCATAAGGCTCTAACCCAAGTTTTAAAAAGCACATTGTGCATATAAAAGTTGAGTTTATACTAGTAGTACACAATGCTTGGCAGCATGAACGGCTATGTACAATGGCATATACGAATGTGATCAGATACTAAAACGTCATAGCTTTGAAAAGTACCCGGATGTTAAATATGTTCGTTTGTTATTTATTCCCCTCCATGAATGGCCTCCATGGTGTTTAATTGCAAGCACTTCAAATGCCTATCCAAGCTACAGTTATAATTAAAACAAAATTAAACCACTGCAATATTACTTCGAATATAGTTTAGAATATACACAACTATAAATTAAGGCCGCATTTAGGTTCGCTTTAACAATTTTTAGAAATTGGCAATGTCTTTGGGTTTCTATATGATCAGATGGCGGATCAGACTTGAGAGATAGCAAAGATGTAGAGACCATAGAAAAGACTATTTTTTATTTGTTTAACTAGCTCTAGCAACCGATTCTACTGAAATGAACTACTTTGTATCAATACCCATGAATATTTCAGTCATACCTTTGTCTGACTTGTGAACCACCTCCGGATCTTGGTGCAACTGCCTTTCCAGGCGACCTTCCACCAACATTAGTACTGCTTGCTGCTGGTCCGGGCTAGTAGACAGAGAGAGAAATACACAATTAATAAAAAAATAACAAATATTTTTATATATGCCATGGTTTTAGATCATTTTTTTGAAATTACAAACTTCTTACAGCATAATGAACAATATGTTAACCAGATATAAGGGAACGCTACAATCAAGTACAGATGCAGAAGATAAGATCTTTTATCCCTTCAGACTATTCAAACACTGACTATGAAATTCATTCCGGATGAGAAAATAACAACGAGATTTCTGTTTATACGCTTATTTCGTAGTGTTCACTATAAAAGAAACAGTATGGCGAGGAAACCTCATTTGAATACAATAACTATTACTTTAACAACGAACCCTACATATGGTACACATGCAATACTGTTAGAACTTGCATCATACAGTTTGAAATGTCCACATAGAGCTGATCTCACGTGTAAACTCGCTGTGAGTTTGAATATGAAGGTGTAGCATAAACTACAGCGTCAGATCTCATGACCGAACGGAAGCACTACAAAAGTCCAACAACGCGTTGCCGAAAACGGACGCTGATGTGGCACTTTCCGGTAATGCGGAAGTCGACGTTTTTTCTCTTAAACGTATAATGGATTGCATACAATAATGAACATTGGAACTACATAAGACCGGCGATGTTTTTAGTGTATTCGACAAGTTTAGTAGCAAAACAGACACATGAATGCGAGAAATTAAGCAACAATTCGAGAGCATTAAAAAACACCTACCATCTTTGATCGTTGTCTGAAGCAAATGGGAAGTGACGTCAGAGAGGTCGTGGCTATATCGCCTTTTATGAGGGCGCTCTTCGATTCACAGTCAGTTCGCCCCAATGCACATTCGCCCCAGACCAGTTCGCCCCAAGATTACTGGTGTTCGTTTTCGCGGTTATGCGTGCAAGGAAATGTGGTTTTGAAATATTTTAAAAATTATACTAAAGTAAAGCCACATCGAAGGACGCTGATCGCCGCGATTCATGATTGTAGCATATCGCCCG